CTTTTAAACCGTATGGATACTTCAAACTTATCACCCAATCGTCCATGATATTGTGTTGACAGAAAAACATTACCCGGAACATTCACTGATGAGACGAAAGGACAAGCTATTAGGGAATTTGTAGCACTACGAGCTAAATCTTATGCATATAATCTAGCAGGCGAAGAAAAACTCAAAGCAAAAGGTGCTAGGCGGCACGTCGTTAAAAATCACATGACTATAGAGGATTATAAACAATGTTTGTTTTGGGATGGTTCAATGGCTAGGAATGCCAGAGAATTGGCTATTAATCAGTTCAACGCTTTTAAATTTACCGGTCAAAAATCTTCAACCAACCAATACACTCCATATCGAGTAAATATATCATTAAGAGCGTTCAAACATCAGATGAAATCAATTTGCACAGTTAAATTGGCTTTAAACCGATCCTATGATAAGAGGCTTGTGCTCGAGAACCAAATTAATACCAGGGCTCATGGGCACTATCGCAACGAGTGAATTTTTAAAAAAATTATTAAACTATTTTAATTTTAATATTTTTTATTTGATTTTTTTTATAGGGAAACTCCAACGTTTGAAGAAACAGAATTAGATAGATTTAACGATTCTGAAAAAGAGTTGATGGATTTATTGCTAGCTGAAATACTTTCATAACCCTTATTTAATATCGTTAGGGTAGCGATCAACTAATATTTTAGAAACAGCTTTAGCAACTTCCACACCGGTTTTTATTTTTAACGGTAATGTCCAGGCAAATTTTGTAAAACAGACGATGATACATAGAATATACTTGAAACCTTTATTTTATTTTGAGTACGGAATCATTTCAACCAAGTCGGCCTGCCACAAGTCGTTTTTTCTATATACATTGACCGCATGTTTTACCGCATCCAGAGGGTCCTACTATAAGCGCACGTATAGTATTCGGTAAAAGTATTCCATGCCTCGATTCTTGCAATGTCGAGGTATAACGAACAACGTTATCGACGGTGAGTTTAACCTCATGATTTATGAATCGCATTTTCGATATAAATATCTGTGCAAAACTAGAATCAACGTCAATACACGATGTCAACTATTCGATGAAAAAAACAAGAATAAGGTGAGCGGTCTTATCAACTCGCTTATAAACAAAATTCCAGTGGAGTTACACGTACCTGGTAATTAATTTAAACGATTTTGAAATAACTTTCATTATTTAATAATTGTTTTTATAGGATATCAATATTGCGGACCGGGTACAAATTTGAAAAAACGAATAGCCCGCGGTGATCCTGGTACAAACACATTGGATTCGTATTGCAAAGATCACGATATCGCTTATGATCGTAGTAACGCGCTCTCCGATCGCAGAAAAGCAGATTACATTTTAGAAAATAAAGCGTGGCACCGGGTTAAAGCGAGAGATTCGTCCTTGAGAGAAAAAGCGGTTGCTTGGGGTGTGACCACTGCAATGAAGTTAAAACGAAAATTAGGAAGCGGTTGTATGTTTAAGTCAGCGGTTAAGGCTGCTAAAAACATACTTAAAAAAAATAAAGGAGAAAAAGACTTGTTAAAATTAGCTCGAAAATGTCTTGTAGCAGCTAAAAAGACTACAAATACTAAGGGGAAAAAATCCCCCAGACGCCAAGAATTATACCTATCCCAAAAACGGGAGATATGTTACCTCTTATACCTATTTTTGCAGGATTATCGGCATTAGGTTCACTGGCAGGTGGAGTCGCGGGTATAGTCAAAACCGTAAACGAATGGAAATCTAGCAAAAACGCACCCACTCATCTAGGAAAAGGATTGTACATTTAACCGTATAAAGGCAGAAAGTATAAAATCGAACAGGGGAGTGGGTTATATGTGCGACCCTATAAAGGTGGCGAGTTGCGAAAAATAACAAAAAACTAATATCTACGTTACCCAATAGAGCGTTGTTCGACTATGAGATTATAAAATACGCTCGCATGTTAAAAATACCTCATTTCATCGGAGTATTTTCAAGAGATAGGTTACCTCGACAATCAAAATCTAGAGAATCTGCGGTCGTGAATTTGGATATCGATGACAGTACGGGCACGCATTGGGTAGCGTATAGAAAAATCGGAAAACAAGTGGAATATTACGATAGTTTCGGGAACTTGGCACCACCGAAAGAACTACAGACATATCTTCGCGAGTGCGAAATCAGATACAATTACGATAGACATCAGAAATATAACACGGAAAACTGCGGGCGTTTGTGCTTGGAATTTTTATCATGTTCACCATAACGCTCACTGGTGATTCGAGTGAATTATCATGTGATATTTTTCCTCTGTTAGAAGTTAGCAAAAATTCACAGCTGTGTCTTCTGAGTTTATATACTAATAATTTTATACCTAATATCGAACCCGGTTGTAATAAGATAGGGTTTAAAAACGAGAAAGACAAGAGTTACAATATAGTTATACCTACAGGGACTTATGAGTTTGCTAGCTTAGCGACGTATATACAAGAAAGTATGCCCGAGTCGGTTAGGTTAGATTTAAAAGCAGATTACAATACGTTGAAATGTTCAATAAAATGTGATGACAAAATAGATTTCACGGTTCCGAATAATATATCTAAATTATTAGGTTTTGAGCAAATTGAATATAATGCCAATACTACGCACGAATCACTTAATATTGTGCACATAATGAAAGTTAATAGTATAAAAATAGAATGCAACTTAATATCCGGTTCATTCAACAACGGAGTGTCGGATCGAACTATACATGAGTTTAGCCCTTCTATTGCACCTGAGTACAAAATCTGCGAATTACCAGTACATTCCGTATTCTATCCACTAGTAGACTCATCTATCAGTAAAGTGAGCATAACGTTAAAAGACTAAGATAATACTTTAATAAATTTACGAGGAGAACCAATCACAGTTCGTCTTCAGATTAAACACTGATATGGCTCTCAAGTTCAACGTCGGTATAAGTAGAGTTGTAGTTAAAAAATCATATAGTATTGCAAGCAAACTCGTCGAATCAACACGTAATCCGTTAACAACTTGCAAAGATAAAAAAAAAAATAAAACAACTAACGAAAAATAACCAAGCTTTTCTACGTTCGTTAAAATTTTTTTGAATATGGATGAATAATATTTAGATGTAACAGAAGGGTATGTTGACGATTGTAAAATTATACAAATGCAATATCACTCTTTCCTACCGTATTCGAGCACCGCTTTATCGAAAAACGACGAAATCAGAATATCAATTCAAAACATGGACGCATATACTCTTCCATGTGAAAGTTATATTTACGTCGAAGGAAAAGTAAATAAATCAACAGACGCGGGTCAAGGCATCGGTGACTTTAAATTTACCAACAACGGATTAGCGTTTCTATTTTCCGAATTACGATATGAATTGAATGGTGTGGAAATACAAAAATTAAAATACCCCGGAATATCCTCGTGTTTGAAGGGATACTGTTCACATACACCTAACGATTTGAATGAACTTCAGAACGGTGCTTGGGATATTGATATGACCGAGGAAGATAATAAAGATTTCATGACGGAATATACATTTTCCGGGTGTATCCCGCTGAAACACTTATTCGGTTTTTGTGAAGATTATAAAAAAATATTACTCAACTGCAATCAACAACTTATTTTAAACCGAACGTCAACAGATTTCGACGCCTTGTACGTTACAGGCATCGCGGTAAAAGAGAATATTGAAAAAAATAAGAAAGTAACTTTTGATCTTCAAAAAATTATCTGGAAAATGCCCGTCGTCCGTGTGAGT